AGGCAGCAGCTGCGACTTTGGGCTGCAGCGCAGCAGCAGCAAAGAGAACGGGAGGTTTGGGGGCGAGCGGAGGTCTAAGGACGACAAAGAAAGAAGTAATTATATATTTTTTGACAAAAAAAGCCAAAAAAAAGAATTTGAATCTAAAGAAAAGCTCCTCAAATGCAGCCGCCGCCGCCGCTCCCAACCCGAACACCAACCAACCCCGGCTGGGGGGCCCCCAGGTGGGTGGGGGCCCTCCTGCGGCCTGGGGGCCTTTTGAAGCGGCTTAAAGCTGCAAAAGCGACAAATCTTTTAAATCAATTTAATTAAATGCAATTTAGACACTGAAAAGGCAGTTTTTTTCTGCAGGGGGGGGGCTGCTGGACGCTGGGCAGTTAGCTCGTGCTGCAGTTGCTCTATGCTGCTGTGTGTTCCCTGTTGCAGCTCCCCGGTCCCGGGTGGCCACCCGAGCTGAATTTCCCTTTATTTTCCAATTTAAACACTTTAATTCCTCGACAAATGAACTTAATCTCCTTTTTATTTTGAATTTAGAGGTTTGGAGTCCCGAAAATGGCCCCACGCGCTCAGAAGCTTCCCAGCTGGCCCGGGAGAAGAGGTGACCCTACCCTGTAATGGGTGTTCCCTTACAACTAGGGGGCCCCCCGGGGGCCAGGCCCCTGGAGGGCCCCCGCGGGGGCCCCCCTGCGAAGCAAGTTGTGCAGTAGAGGGGCGAAAAAGGCGAAAGGAAGAGAAATTTTTGGAATTGCATTTATTAAATTGAGGGAAAAGCCACAGATTTGCTCAACAAGAGAGCTCCTGATTCCCCATCTCCAAACAAACAAATGCATTAATTGAAATAAATGTTTTCATTCTTAAAAATTCCAAAAGAGTCACCTGAAGGGGTCCAGGCCATTTCTGGGGTGTATGTACATACACCTGGTTCAGCTCCAGTGCCCCTCTCCCTGCTCCTTTCTCTTTCTTTCATTTCATTTTCACTCCTGTCTTAATTCCAAATCCTTTTCGTCTCATTTGATTTTCTTTTCTGTATTTATTCTCAAGTCTTTTTGTCTCACATATTATCTTTTCCCCCAGCTCTGTTGATGCTGCATGCAGCAGCAAAAAGCTCTTCCCCAGACCCCACTCGCAGCTGTCCTTTATTTTCCTAATTTACTTAATTAACCTTTTAATCCATTTAATTCATTTTACTTATTTAGTTTTCGTTTGCTGCCAGCTGCACCCTACGCTGCTGCAGCAGAGGAAAGCCACCCTGCCAGCAGCTGCAGCAGCAGAACCAAGATCCATATGCGGCGGCCCCAAACCCTAAACCCTGAACCCTAAACCCTAAGCCCTTGCTCTAGCTCCTGCTAGCTGCTGGCACTGCCGAAGCAAATGCGTCCTTAAATATCTGTAAAGGCCGGGGACACTCCGCAAAGGGGCCCCTCCAGGGGGCCCCCCTAGGGGGCCCCTCCAGGGGGCCCCTCTAAAGGGCCCCTCCAGGGGGCCCCTCCAAGGGGCCCCTCTTAGGGGATTTTGCAGGGGGCCCCTAAAGGGGCCCCCTGGGGGGGCCCCCAAAAGTTAATGAAGACGGCCGGGGGCCCCTGGGCCCCCTCTCGAAGCCCTGAGGGGCCCCCCATGGGGCCCCTGGGAGCTCCCAAGACAAGTGCTGCTGAGGGAAAGAATAAATGCCTTTGCTGCTGCAGCTCAGCAGCTGCAGCAAGCGTGGAGTGTACAGACAGCTGAAGGCTGGAGAGACACTGCAGCGGGAGAAAAGGAGTGAATCTGCTGCAGCAGCTGCTGCAGCAGCTGCTGCAACAAGCAGCAGCAAAGAAGAACTAAAAGAGGCAAAAAGGCATTTAATGCTTTGGATAAGAAAGAGACAACAAGAACAAATAAAAAGAAAAATAAGAAGAAACATATAAATGTAAAGAAAAGGAAACAAGTCTGAAGAAAGAGACAACTCGATAAAGAGAAGACCAAAATATTCGAAAGCTGCGCCGCCGCAGTCCTTCTGCTGCTCCTGCTGCTCCTTCTGCTGTTGCTGCTGTTGCTTCTGCTGCTGCTGCTGTTGCTGTCGCTGTTGCTGAGGGTTACGAGGGTGTGAAGAGCTGCATGCGCCGCCTTATGTTGACGTCCAGCGCCTTCCACTCGTTTCTCTCGGGAGTACAAAAAACGATCTTGAGCCTCTGCTGCTGCTGCTGCTGCTGCTGCAGCCAGCGGTGTGCTGCTGCTGCAGCACAGTAGGCTGCAGCATGCAGCGGGTAGCCACCCGCGCCCGTGCCCAGCAGCGGCAGCGTCACTGTCTGCAGCTGAAGTGCAGCAGCAGCAGCAAGTGCTCTGCGGTAGCAGCACTCCAGCAAGTAGAGGCGGGGGGCCCTTTCTTTTCTTCGCTGCTCAAACTCCTGCTGCTGCTGCTGCTGCTGCAGCTGCAGCTCTTTGCGCTGGTGCCGCGCCTCCGCCACGTCGCAGTCAATCAGCTGCAGCAGCTGCTGCAGCAGCTGCTGCTGCGTCAGAACAGCATTGGGCTCCACGCAGTGCAGCAGAAACAAATGGGGGGCCCCAAACCCTGGGGTCACCACGAGGGCCCCCGGGCGCAGCAGCTGCTGCGGCGGCAGGGGCTCCCTCTCTGCTGCTGCTGCTGCCGCTGCTGCTGCTGCTGCAACGGGGTCACTGCTTGCGCTATTCAGCGCAGCGGCGGCGTTGCGCGCAGCCGCTGCTGCTCCTGTTGCTGCAGCCGCTGCTGCTGCTGCTGCTGTGTCTGCTGCAGCAGACGCAGAAAGTGGCCACTGCTGCTGAAGCTTGGGGGGAAGCAGCGACGCATGCAGCTGCCGCGCAGTAGCGAGGAAAGAGTCGACAGCTGCTGCCGCAGCTGCTGCGTCTTGCTGCTGCTCCTGCTGCAGTGGCACGTGCTGCTGCTGCTGCTGCTGCTGCAGGAAAGCCTCCAGCCAAGGCCCTGCTGCTGAAAAGAGTGCAGCAGAACCTCTAAAGCCCCGGCCCTCCCCATAAATGCGCAGAGACCTGTCTATGCCTACTACGGCGCCGCAGGACTTCAACTTGGAGAGATCTGAGCAGCAGCAGCAGCAGCAGCAGCAGCGGTGGAGAAGCAGGCCTTAGCGGAAGCAGTACACGCGGCGCACGAACAGCAACTGCAGCAGCAGCAGCAGCAGCAGCAGCACGCAAGTGGATTTACCTCCGAGATGCAGCGCAACGCTATCCCACAGGCTGGTAGCAGCAGGCAGCTCTTGAGGCTGCTCCTCCCGCTGCTGCTGCTGCTGCTGCTGCTGCTGCTGCTGAAACGGCAGCAGCAAGTGAGGCGGCAGCAGCGGGCTGGAAACTTGTAACGCCGAGGGGATGCGGCTGCTGTCCATTTCTAAGGGGGGGTCACTTGGAGCGATCACCTGCCACAAACCCTAAACCCTAAGCCCTAAACCCTAAACCCTAAACCCTAGATTCTAAACCTTAAACCACAAGACCTTGCCTAAGCGTCAAGGACGAAGCCACGAAACAACAAAAGGACGCCTGATGGGACTTGCTGCAGCTACAAAAAGCTCCGAAGCTAGGGGTTTAGGGTTTAGGGTTTAGGGTTTACGGGTTTGGAGAAAGCCTCGACGCGCCTCAGCAGCAGCCGCTGCAGCTCGCTCGAGGGTTCTTCTTTCTTTTTCTTTTTCAGTTTTCTCTTTTCCAGAAAGCCCGGAAACCCACTAGTGGGAATGTGCCGAAAGTGCCGCTGCTGACTCAGCAGCAGCAGCAGCAGCAGCTGCTGCTGCTGCTGCTCTGCAGGCAGCAGCAGCAGCTGAGAGGGGCCCCTTAAATGGCCCCAACGATGCTCCTCTAAAAGGCCCCCACGGGAAGCCACTCTCAAAGGGACCGGGGGGCCCCCCACGGGGGCCCCCGGGGGGCCCCCCCGGCAGCCAACATGGGGACTCCCCATGGGGCCCCCCCGAAAGCCAACGTGGGGGGCCCCCAGGGGGCCCCCCAGGGGGGCCCCGTGAAAGCCAACATGGGGGCCCCCCAGCGGGGCCCCCGGGGGGCCCCCAAAGGGGGCCCTAGCCCCCTGGATGGCAGCAGTGGAAGCAGAAGCGCGCTGCAGGGCCAAAGAGGGAAGTCGGGGCCCCGCAGCAGCAAACATTTTCAACTCTAAGAGCAAATAGTTCTAAAGAGAAGCAGCAAGAACACCAGCCCCGTGGCTGCTGCTGCTGCTGCTGCTGGTCGTCTTGCTGCAGCAGCAGCTGCTGCTGCTGCTGCTCGTGTTGCAGCTGCTGCAGCCGCTCCACCAGCTGCTGCTGCTGCTGCTGCAGGGATGCCCGGCGTTGGCGGTTCTGGTAGGCGAGCTGCGACGGCCCCTGCGCGAAAAAAGCGGGCCCAGCAATGCTGCTGTGGCGCTGCTGTTGCATGCTGCTGCTGCTGCTGCTGCTGCTCTCTCAAGAACACCTGTGCTCGCAGTGACGCAACAGCAGCAGCTGCTGCTGCTGGTCTGCGGCTCTCAGCGTGACTCTGTCTTTCTCCGCAAGCCCCCTGCCCCTAGCCAGCCACCCTTGTGCAGCTGCTGCTGCTATTGCTGCTGCTGCTGCTGCTGTGCTTGTCGGGGCTGAACGCAGCTGCCGCTCTTGCTGCTGCCGTCTGCTGTGCCGCCGTGGTTCTGGGGCTGGGAGCCTTCTGCTGCTGCTCTGTGACAAACCGCTAGATAGCAGGAAATAATAAAATAAATAAATTAAATAACGAAATAAATTCTCTCTAGATGCAAAGGTTAGCTTGGAAGGCAAAGGGACCCTACACGCAAGGCGCTGTGCCTCGGCTTTCTGCACACACGGACCACCCACCCTGCTGCTGCTGCTGCTGCTGTTGCTGCTGTTGCAGCTGCTGTTGCTGCTGGTAACCCTGGCGCTCAAATGCAGCTTTTTAAGAGAACGAAGGTGCACAGAAGCCCCAGAGCGGTGTGCTGCTGCGAGCAGCAGCAGCTGCTGCTCCTGATGGGGCCCCAAGAGCCACGAGCGCTTCTCTGCCTTCCCTGTTTTTTGGGTTTAGAAGTTGAATCAAGCGGCTAAAATTAAATTTGAATTTTATCTAAAAAAGAACAAAATTTATTCCGTTCAAGGCGCTCAGCCCGCGGCACCGCCGCGCAGCAGCCGGGGCGTCCTAGAAACAGCAAAAAAATAGAGCTGCAGCAGCACCAGATTTGCTCATGCTGCTGCAGCTGCTGCGGCTGCTGTAGCAGGAGTGACCCTGCTGCTGTAGCAGGAGTGACCCTGCTGCTGCTGCTGCACCGTCTGCGCCCTTAGAAAGGCCATGTAGCAGAGGGGAGAAGGTAATTTATTTCAATGCTGTAGCAGCAGTAGCAGCTGCTGCTGCTGCAGTGCTGTTGCTGCTGCCGCTGTGGCCCTGTCTCACTAGAGTCCCACTAACTGTCAAAAGCTGCAGCAGCAGCAGCCTCCCTAACACGCATCAGGGGGGCCCCCTAGAACTACAGAACAGGAGGGGGCCTCCCAGCAGCAAGACCTACACTGTGTGCCATTAAACACCCCTTTGAAAGCCTCTAGGGGACCCTAGGGGCCCCTAGAAACCTTTTGGGGACCCATGGGGGCCCTTGGGGGCCCCACAAGGGATATCGACGGGGGCCCCCTATGGACAATGGCTGGGGTCCCTTAGGCAGATGATGGGGCGCTAAGCACACTGTTATGCACTAAGCAGCAGCAGCAGCAGCAGCAGCAGACCAGCAGCAGCAGCTGCAGCATGCACAGCATGGGGCCCCGGTACTAGGGGGGCCCCTGGGGGGCCCCCTCTCGAGCAGAATTGAGACCTAATGGCTCCAGGGGCTCACGGCGGGGAGGGCGCTGCTGCTCATAGCCCGCCGCTGCTGCTGCTGCCGCTGCTGCTGTTGCTGCTGCCGCTTCAGGCGCGGAAGGGCTGAGGAGCTGCTGGTAGCTCTTGCTGCGGCAGCAGCAGCAGGCGCTGCTGCTGTCTTGTGCTGCTGCGGGGTAAAGCGCGGCCGTGAGAGACCAAGGCGAGGCAGCGCGCTGCTGCTGCTGCTGCTGCTGCTTTTGGCCTTGCTGCTCTTGCCCCTAGACACGGCTGCGGCTGTAGCCCCAAGCTTCCGCGAGGGACGTCCCGCTGCTGCTGCTCCCGTTGCCGCCGTTGGAGTGGGCATAGCTGCTGCTGCTGCTGCTGCTGCTGCTGGGCGCGCCTGCTGCTGCAGCCGCTGCAGCTTCCGGTCCACCTGAGTCAAGAAACACTTTGCTGCTGCTCTGGAGTCAGGGTCCCCCAGCAGATTGCTGCGTGCTGCTGCTGCTGCTGCTTTTCGCTGCTTGTGGGCCTTCGCCGCGTGCTGCAGCAGCACCGGTGAACCAGGCGCTGCTTCCTCCATTTCTGCTGCCGTCGCTGCTGCTGCTGCTGACACTGCTGCAGTAGCTGCTGCTGCTGCTGCAGTCCCATTCTTGCGCATGTCTGCACGACTAGGGGTGGAACTGCTGCTGTGGCTGCTGCTGCTGCGGTTGCTGCTGCTGCCGCTCGCCTGTGGGTCGCTGAATATTTCCTCAACTTCTTGCTGCAGGCGCTGCCACAACTTTGGCTGCTGCTGCTTCTGCTGCTGCTGCTGGGTCGGCTGCAGCGAATTGCTAGGAGCAAACAGAGCTCTATAGGGAGAAGGAACTGTGCTGCTGCAGACGCTGCTGCGTCTGCTGCTGTTGGCATCTGCTGCTGCTGCTGCTTCTGCTCCTCTGCACGCTTCCGCGATCACTTCCGTGCTGCTGCTGCTGCCCAGCAGCTCCAGCAGGCTGCTGCTGCTGCTGCCGCTGCTGCTGTCCTTTGCTGCTGTTGCTGTTCTTGCATCTTCGCTAGGCGACACCGCCTCTTCAAAATCGACGAGGTCGTCATCATCAGATTGCTGCTGCTGCTGCTGCTGCTGCTCTTGTTGCTGCTCTTGCTGCCGCTCTTGCTGCTGCTGCTCTTGCCGCTCTTCTTGCTGCTGCTTCTCTTGCTGCTCTTGTTGCTGCTCTTGCTGCTGCTCTTGCTGCTGCTGCTGCTCTTGCGGCTGCTGCTCTTGCTGTTGCTGCTCCTCCATTTCACATGAATCACGCTGCTCTACGAGCAGCACCTGCTGCCGCTTCTTCTGCTGCTTGTTGCTGCTTTGACCTGCTTGCTGCTGCTTCTGCTGCTGCTGCTGCGGCTCTTCGTCAGACAGGATGACTGCAACATCGTCCCCATTGCTATATGCTTTTCTTGCTGCTGAGCCTTTCAGTGCTGCTGCTGCGCCTTCAGCTGCTGCTGCTGCTGCTGCGTCAGCTTTCGCCTCTGGAGCTGCTGCTGCTGCCGCTGCTGACGTTTCGGCCGCTGCTGCTTCTGTTGCAGCATCTAAACGCTTAAAGGAAAGCCGCGGCCGCTTGTCCACGCTGTTGCGGCTGCTGCTGTTGCTGCTGTTGCTGCTGCTGTTGCTGCTTCTGCTGCTGCTGTGACTGCTATCGGTGCTGCCACGCTTTCTCGGACGTACCTTCTGCTGTTGCTGCGGCTGCTCTTGCAGCTGCGCTTGCTGCTGCTGTTGCAACTCCAGCAGCTGCTGATGCTCCCGCTGCACCTGTTGCTGCTGCTCCGTCTGCTGCTGCTGCTGCTCTGTCTGCTGCTGCTGCTGCTGTTTCTGCTGCTGCTGCTTTTTCTGGCGCTTCTGATCCACCTTCTGCACAGGATTGAGCATCTGGTGCTTCTGCCTCCTTTGCTGCCGATGCTGCACTTGCTGTTGCTGTTGTTGCTGCTGCTCTGGCGGCGGTAGATGCTGGTGCAGCTGCAGCTGCTGCTGCTCTGTTGACCACTCTTGCTGCTGCTCCTGCTGCTGCTGCTGCTGCTGAAGCACGTGAGGCAGCTGCTGCGTCGGTGCGACTGAGAAGTCGACTGTCGATCTGCGGCTTCTGCGTCCGCTTAGAACATCTGCCTCTTTTGTTGCTGCTGCTGTTGCTGCTGCATCTCCCGTTGCTGCTGCTGTTGCTTCTGCTGCTGCAGCTGTTGCTGAAGCTGCTGCTGCAGCTGTTGCTGCTGTAGTTGCTAGAGTGTCTGTTGCTGCGGCTGCTGCTGTAGTTGTTGCCGTAACGACTGCTGCTGGTGCACCTTCTACTGCTGCACTTGCTGCTGCAGCAGCAAGTGCAGCAGTAGAAGATGAACTTGCTGCAGCAGCAGCTGCTGCCGCTGGTGCAACAGGTGCTATATAGGCCGCCACAAGGGCTGGTTCTGCTGTTGCCTCCGCTGGCACATCTGCTGCATTTGCTGCTGCTGCTGCTGGCGCCTGCTCGGTGAGCTTTGGCTCAGGAGAAGCAGCTGCTGGTGCTGCTGCAGCTGAAGTTGCTGCCGTCGCTGCTGTTGTTGTCGCCTCTGCTGCCGCTGCTGCTGCTAGTGCTGCTTCTTCTTCCTCGGAGTCGCTGTAGCTGCTGCCAGGCCTTAGCAGCATATCTATATCGAACGCCTCCGCTAGCTGCTGCACTGGTGCGCTGGCCTGTTGCTGCTGCTTCTGCTGCTGCTGCTGCCAGTGATCCGCAGCAGCAGCAGCAGCAGCAGCAGCATCATCGGGGTGGGGCGCGCAGCAGAAGGGAAGGTAGGCAGCAAATCTCCATGTGGGTGTCTGCAGCAAAGCAGCGTACGCGCATTCTATCCACTCCGTTGTCACAGGCACGCTGCCGCTCTTGCTGCCCTTCCTGCTGCTGCTGCTGCTGCTGCAGGGGGCAGCAAGCACTTTCCTCGCAGCGTCGAAATAAAACCAAACGAATAAGCGGCCGCAGAGCTCGCGAATCAGAAGCCGCTGCAGCAAAGCAACATCGACGCCTTCAGCTGCCAGTTCCGCAGCAGCAGCAGCTGCTGCTGCTGCTGCTGCTGTTGCTGCTGCTGCCCCCGGGGCGGCGGTGGGGTCTTTCGCGGCTGCGGACTCTGCCGCCTCCGTGGCTGCTGCCGCGGTAGCCTCATTGTTTCGCTCATAATTTTCTTGCTGCTGCAGCAGCAGCTGCTGCTGCTGCTGGAACTGTTGCTGCTGCTGCTGCTGCAGCTGTTGCTGCTGCTGCTGCGCCAGCAAGTTTGCGTAGTCCCAGCACTTGTGTCTGTATATTCTTTTTCTGACAGGCTTCCACATTTTGTTTGGATTGAGGGGAAGGGCCTTATCTTTTCTCAGCTGCTGCACGCAGCAGCAGAAGGTCACAGCCACGAGGTCTTGCGGAAGCAGCTGCAGCGCAGCAAAGCTGCTGCTGCTGCAGGGCAGCGGCTGCAGCAGCTGCTGCGGCGGAGGGGTGCTGCAGCAAGAACACGGCAGCGGCAAGGCCAGAAAAGACCACTGGACCAGCTGCTTGTCTGTTGCTGCTGCTGCGCCGTCGCTGCATGCAAGCGAGTGCCGCCCAACGTCGCAGCACTTCTGCTGCAGCAGCAGCTGCTGCTGCTGCTGCAGCAGCAGCTGCTGTTGTTGTATCTGCGGCGAAGGGTGGGGGGCTTTGAGAGGGAGGGAGTGCTCTCCCTCGAAGAGAGGTATTGCTGGCATGGCAAAGGCTCGCTCGCGTCCCCTGCTGCTGCTGCTCCCGCTGCTGCTGCTGCTGCTGCAAGTGAGAAGCTGCGCCCTGTGTTTAAGTGCTGCATATGTGAGCAGGAGCAGCAAAAGGGGCAGCCATTCTCTCAGCAGCTAAAGAAAGAGGAGAGTCAAGAAGCAGCAAAGATGGAGCTGGAGAGGTGGTGAGGTTGGTGGCAGCAGCAAGAATACGGGGCGATTCTGTCTTCTGTAGGCACCAAATTTGGCCGATTTGAATCGCTTTATTAAATAAATATATTTAAAATTGAATTAAATTAATTTTGCAGCGAAGAAACGGCAGGTGGCGACGCGGACCGCCAGTGTGTCTGCGGCAGCCCCAAGCCGCAAGGGCTGCCGCTGACTGACAGCCCGTTTGCATGCAGCCGAATTATCCTTTTTGGAGAATTAAAAGGCGAAATTAATAATTTAAATAATTAAAATAAAATTGGAGTTTTGAAAAGGCGCTGCAGCAGCGAAGGTGCGCATCAAACACAGGCGTGGGGCGTGTGCTAGCCACAGAGCAGCAGCAACTTTCTGGAACAGCCCCACAGCCTTGCCTTCTGCAGCTTTTTTCTCCTTCTTTTTTTGCTGTTAAAAGACTCTGCAGCAAAAGATACTCCAGGGCCTATTCAAGAAGCAAACACTTGCTGCAGCACCCCAGACCCCAGCCCTCTTGCTGCAGCTAGCTGCTGCGGGCACCCCAGCCGCAGCAGCAGCTGCTCCCGCTGGAGCAGCAGCGCCAGCCCGGCTGCGAAGCAGCAGCAGCAGCAGCAGCAGCACCAACAGCACCAGCACCAGCACTAGCAGCACTGGCAGCACCAGCAGCAGCAGCACCACCAGCACCCGCAGCAGCACCACCAGCGGCAGCAGCAGCAGCAGCGGCAGCAGCAGCTGCTGCAGCAGGATGAGCGTGAATCCGATAGGGGTGATAGTGCCTGGGAGCGCCTGCGCGTTCCCGCAGCAGCTGCAGGGAGACGCTAAGTGGCTGCTGGACTTAAAGCCTGCAGCAGCAGATGTCGTTTGCTTCTTGACGCAGCAAAACCAGCTGCCCCCAGACACAGGCATCGGCATTTACTTCGCGCTGCCCCCCTTCGCAGACTGGGAGGTCAGCAGCAGCAGCAGCGGTAGCAGCAGCAGCAGCAGCAGCAGCGGTAGCAGCAGCAGCGGCGGTATTAGCAGCAGCAGCGGTAGTAGCAGCAGCAGCAGTAGTAGTAGCAGCAGCAGCAGCGGTGGTAGTATCAGCAGCAGCAGCAGCAGCGGTAGCAGCAGCGGCGGTAGCAGCAGCAGCAGCAGTGGCAGCAGCAGCAGCAGACTGCTTTTGCACTTTTGCTTTTCTGCGCTGCAGTTCTTGGGGGTGCTGACGAACAACAGGCCGAGCACTCTGCTGTCCACCGGCTGGCAAGCAGCAGCAGCTTTTGCTGCCTTTTGCAAAAGAGCCAAAGACACAGCCTGCAGCAGCAGCAGCACTGCGGACCAAAGAAGCCCCTCAGATGCGTCTCGGCGCTGCCCCAGCTTCCCGTTCATGTTTGCTTCCTTGGTGCTGCTGCTGCTGCGCGCAGGAATCTGCTGCCCGAGGCTCGGCAGGCGGACGGGGTGCGGCTTGGCTTGTAAGTGGCGTAGGCCGCAATCACCAGGGATTGAAATGCGCATATAATGCAGAAAATAAATAAATAACATTAAAAATCCGGATATTTGAATTGCAAGTCCCAGGAAACTTGAATTCCCCCGCCGGCAACGCTGCGTGCAACTTCAGGGAAGCTTGCATTTTCTGGTTTTCCGCTGCACCAAGTGCTGCTTTTTCTGTTCAGTTTGCTGGAATCTGCGGAAAGCTTGACAGTGAAACTTGAAACGAAACCGATCGTCGACGCAAAAAAAGAATATGCGCGAAAAGTGGCATTGAATTTGTACCGGTGGGTCGCGTGCGCACTTGGGGTGTACGGACACCTCAGCTCCGGCCCTTTATTCTGCATTTTCTGATCAAGATCCACTTGTGTTCAGCTTTCACCATTTGGAATATTTGATCATTTTCTGCGTTTTACTGCAACTTTTGAACTTTTTTCTGTCTTTCTCGCTCTCAGCTACTTGGAATCATTTCAAGGAGGCGGAAATCAGGCACTGCTGGACCGCTGGTTCGAACGGTGAGAAAAGATATTCTTTGCCTCTTTTTGACTTCATAAATGTTTCTTCTTTTTTGTTTAATGCACAATTAGACATTCCCCGTTTCTACACAGCAGCTGGGGCCAAAGCAGCACATAAACGCAAAATCTTGAATTCAAAAACTTGAATTCAGAAAACTTGAATTCGAGGAACTTGAAATTAAAGAAACTTGAATTCAGAAAACTTGGATTCAAAAACTTCACCTCAAAAAACTAGAATTCAAAAACTTGAATTTGTGTTGCAGATTCGAAGCAAAGTACCGCATGGACCCGAACTTTGTGATGAAGAGCGAGTGAAGGCAGCAGCAAAGTTGCTGCTGCTGCTGCTGCTCTCTGCGGCGCTGACGGCAGCAGCAGCAACTCCCGCAAAGGGAAGCAGCGGCTCTCCATTCCGTCCCAGCAGCAGCACTTGCTGCTGCTAGCAGCATCCGCTGCTGCTGCTGGTGCTAACAGCACCAGCGGCCTCTGCTGCTGCTAGCGGCACCCGCTGCTGCTGCTGCTGCTGCCAGCAGCATCCGCTGCTGCTGCTTCGCAGCCTTTTCACTGGGGAGGCAGCAGCTAACTAGAGTATTCAGCCTACAGAAGGGTCTTGCTGAATTTGTTAAAGTCAGGGGGGCCCTCAGAGGCCCCGAGGTGCCGCAGCTTTGGGTTGCCCCCCTCAGCTGCCAGGTAGCAGCAGCAGCAGCAGCAGCAGTAGCAGCAGCAGCTCGAGAGACGTGGGGGGCGACAGTCTGAGTCCCTAGCCCTTGAGGCGCTCGAGCAGGACTTTTTTGTTTTCGCTGTGCTGTCAGCTGGTTAAGCTGTTGCTGCTGCTGCAGTTGCCGTTGCTGCTGCTGCAGTTGCCGTTGCTGCTGCTGTAGTTGCCGTTGCTGCTGCTGTAGTTGCCGTTGCTGCTGCTGTAGTTGCCGTTGCTGCTGCCGCTGCAGCTGCTGTTCTGCTGCGGCTGCTTGGCACTGCGCTGTTAAAGAGGGGGAAACGGCTGCTTCGAGCCGCTGCTGCTGGCGTAGCTGTCGCTGCTGCTGCTGCTGCTGCTGGCGCAGCTGTCGCTGCTGCTGCTGCTGCTGGCGCAGCTTTTGCTGCTGCTGCTGCTGCTGCTGCTGCTGTCTCTGCTGCTGCCGCAGCAGCACTGCTGCGGCCTCTGTTCGTAGCGCGGCCGCTACTGCTGCTGCTCATGGTGCTGCTGCAGATACTGCCGCTGCTGCTGCACATACTGCCGCTGCTGCCATTGATGCTGCGACTGCTTCCGCTGCTGATAATACTGCTGCTGTCGTTGCTGCTCAAGCTCCTACTGCCGCAGATATTGCTGCTGCTGATACTACTACTGTGGCTGCCGCTGACACTACTGCTGCTGCTGCTGAAACTGCTGCTGCTGCTGATCCAGCTGCTGCTCCTGCAGCTGCTGCTGCAGCTGCTGCTGCTGCCTGCGGAGCCGCGCTGCCTGCGCAAGCATTCTTTGTTTGGCTTCTTCTGCGGAAATGACTTCTCCGAGCTGCGCCTGCTGCTGCTCCCTCTTGTTGTTGTAGCAGTGCAGCAGCAGCACAGCAGCAAGCAGCAGCCAGAAGGCTGGAGAGAAGCAGCTCAGGTTCCGCTCCGGCAGCAGCAAGTCCCACAGCCGCTGGCTCTCCGCAGCCCGCTGCGCCAGCTGCTGCTGCGCGTCCGCTGCTGCTGCGCTGTCCCGCTGCGCTGCTGCTGCTGCTGCTGCTGCAGCGGTTCCCCCTGCGTCGGGAGAAGGGCTCGGCGCTGCACCCGGGGAAGACTCTGCAGGCTGCTG